AGAAAATACATCTACTTTGGCCTGGGCATCCAGGCAGTATCATGCCATCAAGCAAATCATAGGCCTTTGTATTTTTATAAAGATTAGTGTACCATGGTTTGTTTAGCACAGTGTGAACTCAGGCGTGTGTGAAAATACATACATACTGGTGGTCAACCATAATAGGTTCCCCGGTAGTGTTCGGAAATCACCACTATCGCCAAACCTCTTCGGTATTTCCCCGCCCGCTTCAGCTTTCAGATTAAGCATTCAATGAAGGAAGAAAAACAATGCGCGTAGAATAATTGGACACATGATCATTATCTAATTTCTCCGGCCACTGATTAGGCTGGTCCCGTGGTCCTCATCCAGGAAACCTAACACGACCTATTTTTATTGCACACATGTGTGATGAACAGCAGGTAGAGCGGCTTACATGGTCACTGATAGAAACCGGCAACCTAAGCCCAGGGACTTGTAGTGGCAACCACTCCATTTTAATAGGTTTACACCGGGTTATAGCCTGGTTACCAGTCGTCAACACCATCGTGCAGCGGATTACGGTGAAGCGAACTTCACTGGTTGCCGCCAAACTCTCAATGCATAAAGAGTAAGTGAGATTGCACCTCGGTCAANCGGTCAACATTGCACATTAAGGAAACTTAACCTGTGACGCCCTAATCCCTGAAATCTAAGGTGGCCGAACATTAGCGTTAGTGTAACTTCTCACAACTTTTTGGTGCAACTTGTTCTATCGCTCTACCAGGTTGGCGCAATGCAGTGTAAACTGATCATCTTTTGCTGGTTTGCCAAGGCCTCAGTATGGTTTAGGGGTCTTGGACTGAATTGTCATTTTTCCCTTGTACCTCGTGAAACCCTCCTACGCTGCCAAATGTCTCAAATAGCCTCTGCCGAGGAAGTAATACTAGCAGCCTTCATGTGGTGGCGGTTTCCCCACCAAAGCGAGGGAACGAAAAGCTAACATCCTGGTTTGGTGAACCACTGGGAGTTGACCAAAAACCCCGATTCCGAACGAACCAAGAGTATGAACCACATTCTCGTCCTACTGGTTTTAGTAAGAGTCACAGACTTGCTTTGGCATCCATGGGCATTGGGCAGCCGNAAATTCACTTGCTTTGGTTTGGGTAACCTGACAGTATTCCGCCCACGAGATCACAAACTCAGATTATTGTGCCATCGTTTATTCGTAAGGCCTGGCCTCCGATACGTGAAATAAAACATTAAAGTTATCAATAATATTGACATTTCTCGTCTCCAACGACCACGCCTCTGAATCAAATATCAGCTTGCTGACACGATTGTTGTTGTGTGCATTCGGCCTATCACAGACGGATCAATTGCTCCGTGGCACCAAAGGTTTCAAGTTTGGAAATATTCATTCGGTCTTAACAACTAAACAGTTGGATTATCGAGTAAATGCAGTAAACGAACAGTCTTCTACGCCATTTTTTGTACAATACATGGCCCTATTCACAAACGCATTTCCAGATAAGACACCAGCCGCTGGTCTTGGGATGGTGGCGGCACTGTGGTTTAGTCACCGTCGCTTTGGACCCTATGGTNATGGTGTGACGTTCGAGCACCACCGCCCAACTTTGGTGGAAGGCTGTCATCCCGTTCAATACCACGCTTGATCTATCGGAGCCATTCCAAGTTCCGGGGCTTAGGTTGCCGGTTTCCACCACTGATCCTCGTGATTATGGGATTCGCCCCGTCTGCTGTTCTTCACACTTGGGTGTGCAATAAAAAAACGAGTGCAGCCTACCTCCACTGAACCTTAGTCTTCACGTTACTAATAACTCATTGTTCTCCAAAAGCACTTCATGTCAATGTGAGTGCCGTGCAAACGACTACCTCAATCCTTTGTCCCACGTGCAAAAGTTCGATTTCATTTTGTTCAAAATCAGCATCGAGAAGAAATAATTCTCGGACGCAGCTTAAGCCTCGGTATTGTAAGCTTGTTCAACTTTTACCAGTCTCCTCTTACGGACACTTGGAGAAAGGTGTTGGACACCGTCAACAATTCAATCTCACCTACACCTTTCCGGCCCTAAATATTTCAAATGTTGCACAATCGTCATTCTGTAGACTACAGGTTGGTTATTTTCCACAGTTGTCACTCTGACATCAAGCTCTTTTCACAAGCGACGCAGACCACGCACCATTGCGCAATGTCAACCCCGAAACTATCTTGCCAAGCCTAAGTCAAGAGAAACTTACGAACATGACGTATGACTCCCCCGCCCCAGATTCCTATTCTAAATGTAGCCCACAGCCTCGTTACTTCAAATATTCTACGAACCAACAAACTTACTTTTACAACCAATGGAATTTCCCAACGCACCTCGCCCATAAACATGATTCCATCGGACAAGAGGATTTTCGAACGGTAGCTAGTGATATTGATGAACAACCACTGACGTCACAATTTCGTGCACGCTGTCTCCTAATGCTTACGCACGAGAGTTACAAATGTGAACAGTAGCTACCAAACGGTGACGGCGAGCAGTGTATTTATCAACGATAAACCTCAGTGGATCAAACCAAGCTGCTAGTATAATAAGTTCGTTGAACATTTGGAGTCCCAGCTTAGCATCACTAATGGCACCTACGCATTTCCCCAGCAACCTTACAGTACACCAATTCCATACTTCAACGTACACACTGCTCTCAACATTCCAGTCTTCTTTCCAGCTCCCCATCCAAATGACCTGCAACATAGTCATTAAAATAGCAGCTCGAAAGCTGTTCAAACCAAAAGTGAAACCCAATGCGGGATACCTTCCCAGCAGCAGCAGCTACTGAGGGGACGAAAAGATAACCGCGTCCATCTGGTCGTTCAATAAACTTCACAAAACCAAAGATAACCGATCAGTTCTCGTTTACCCCAAATATATCGACCAATTTGGACTAAAAGGAACCTTAACCAGAGACGAAACGGCGTTAGCATTGCAGATAAATAGCTGTTAATGAACTATGATCACAGCGCCGCATGACATAAAACAACCGGAATTTACACCCCAAACTAACGACCAAAAAGATAATATCACAAACAATGTTTATCACCAATACGATGCACATCAGGACGTGTATCATACAAACGGG